ATTAATGAATAAATAAAAATACTAATCTCGCCGAAGTCGGCATCTAACCCAAGAAACATAAGATATATATATATATATATACTTCTCAAGACTTCAACTTCACAAGAACAATCAAACTTCACAGGATTATGTCTTCACGAGTTTTTGACCTCGATAGATTTTAAAAAGAAATTTTTGCCCAGCGATATGTTGGCCACAAGATTTAGTTTCGAAACCGTTTAAACAGTTGCTAGAAGACTAAAGAACTTTTGAACTAAGTATTTGGGCAAATTTACCTTTAAGGTAATCGTTTCGTATAAAATTACTGTTAGATTCTAGGGTTAGATTACGGTGTTGTTCGGTTAGCTTGGAGAAGGTGTAGCATATAACTTCTATGAGGTTTAATCCTGTCTCCCCTCACCGACACCAAAAGCAAAATCAAGCCTGCACCCAATTGTTTAACCTTATCTCGAAGACAATGGTTAATTTAATTGGTTCAATTAGTTAAATTGTGACAACTTAAATAATACGTAAATACAGAGCATTGTATCAACTGTTTCTTGATTTCATTGAGAATAATTTAGCTTTTTTTCACAAATGAGAAAAATCATTGTTTTTAAATATATATTCTCATGTTCTGCTTCTTCTACTGGCATTTGTGTATAGATAAAAAGGATATGTTCCGAATAGGAAGCTTCGAATATTAAGATATGTCCCGTGTAAAAAGTTTTGAAATGGCAAATATTCCGAAATTAAGAGAGCAGATGTAATTGCTTTTTTTTAAAAAAAAAAATTGATAAAACGATTTATATATAAATAAAAAAAGTATAAAAGTTCAAGGATTATAACACTTTCTCAATTCTTTCCTGTTAAATGCTTCAACACATAACTTTCAATATAATTTGAGAAGTCACGAAGATGCGCAATTACTAATACGAATCCTAAAACACCAAAGTATATCCAAACGTAAATTTAGCCTCCTATTCCGCATTCTTTATTGGTAACTTAGCAACGAATTACTCTGAGTTGCTGCTAATGGAGTGTTAAGGCTTTCGCAAATTGTTTTCCCCCACAGTAACAACAGCATCAAATAGCATTTTCTTCAAACTAAACTGTAATTGATCTTGGCGTTGATGGCTGTGCAATCTGTACAATGTCCCAGACATTCCAGACTCATCCTCACCCCCTTTGCTTTATCTCAGATACACTCCAGAACGGGAAGAGTAAAATGTACTAGGCAATTAAGGATTAAAATTCCGTATCTCTATGGTATTGAAAGCACTTAATATCAAACTTATCTTCCTGACTGCTAGGCCCTTTTGAGTTAGAAATAATCAAATGTAAAACCATTTATTTCAAATCGAAGTAAAACTGAGAATTGAAACTTGGAAACTTGGCAATGATGTTTTTTACAAAAACTCAATTTAACTATTACGGATTGTTTGCTTTTAATTATATTTCTCATATTGAATAGTTACGCCGAAAAATACGTGCTTGCCTAATTTTAACTTTGAGAAGAATTTACGATCATCTATTTAATTTGATTTTTTACATAACACTAAATATAATTCGTGTTGGGTTTAGAAAAAAAAATTATTACTCGGAAAAAAATAATCTGGTAAAATTATGCTACTGTACCCTTATGGCATATCAGGTAAAAGTAATAATTATGGTAATAAAAATCAAAATATACATTATTTTAACCATTCACTTTGGTAATTGTTCCGTTCTTTATGGTAACGGTATACCAGAAAATCTGTTTTTCAAAACTGTAGTTCTTATTATCACACATTTATCATAAAAAAATTTTTTTTAATGGTGGGCACTTGGAACTATTGTCCATTGGCCACAGAAAGTGCCAGAACTGCTAACTCTCTTTTCGTTAACCAGTGGGCACCTGTGGCGAAGCCACGGTGGTGGAGCAGCGTCGCCCACGTCACACTACCACAACCCGTTTATAGGGCGGGTCACATTCACACACAAAGGAGAAAGGACATAGAACACAGATAGAGAAAAAGAAACACCCATGCCTTGCCCGGGATTCGAACCCAGAACCTTTCTGATGTGAGGACAGTTCCCTGCCCTCTACACAGGCCGGTCGGCATTTATCACAAAATACGAAAGTGAAATTTAAATTTAACCGAAAAATTGGTTGTTATGCTTCGCTCTAAGATATCATGATAAAATTACTAAATTTTTCGACATTTAAAATTTTTTATCCCATATTATAAAACCATATTTTATTGTTAATATAGCCAAAATCATTATTAAAGCTCTTCGGTAAAAATTAGCAAGCTGTTTTGTGTTTCCCATACAGACAAAAACATGGTAAAATTTTAACATATTCTGCATGTGTTCACCATACTTTTTCTTCTAAGTGTAACATTAAACATAAATACCTAACTCTCTGCATTAAACATCACTTAATACAGAAAATTTTGTAATTTGTTAAGTAAGTGTAGCCATTAATACAGTTTAATGAATAAAAAACTAATTAAAATATACTTGCAATTTTTACTTTAGAATTTTTCAAACAAAGCCTCTTTAAAAAAATACTACAATTTACTAATCTTATAAAGCATAGACTTTCTTATTAATTGGTAACAAACAGAACATATGCTTATATTCAATTTACACACTTGTAGAGCACATACACAAGATACATTGAGTAAAATGTTGTACCTTAGATCTATTTCAACTTTTCATTTATTTTTTTATGCAGAAAGTAATAATTCCATTAAGTTAGAAATTCTATGGGAAATGCAATGCACGTTTGTTCTATAATATAATTTTTCATGAATGCCACGAAACTGTCCAAATGTCAACAACATTGAATTACTTTTGATTTTACAAAAAAGAATTTTTTATGCAAAACTTATCATATTGCTGCTAGGGAGCAATGTGTTTAGTTTTATCGTTTGCCTCATAAAATTGTGAAGTTGAAAAAGGCGTACATCGTAGTTTTACGGAAAGGCACTCAGGGCGCGTCATCAGTAGAATTAATTTTACTGCGAAATCCCCTTTTTTTACCAGAACATTTCATACAATATATTTTACCGTAATAAATATTTTACTACAGTGATTCAGTGATTTTACAATAAAATTACAATAAAAAATTATCGGGTAGTTTGCTCCGTAAAATTTTGTGGTTAAAATAGATTTTACGATGAAAAGTACCAGAACCCTGGATACGTGATATTTTACCGTGATTTGATCCGGAATTAGTTGTGCATCAAAAATTGGATTTAACTGTGCATAAAAAAAGAGAAATCGCCGAGTATGTTTTACCATTTACGTTTAATGTTTCAAATTATAACAATTAGAACTTACTTATTTAACCCCTTCTCTGTCGAATTTTTTTTTTTTCGAATTTCCGACACAAAAAAAGCATTATTTTATTACTGAAAATTAATATGTGTTTTTTCCTTAATTAGAAACTGCAAAATATTTTTGTCAGTAAGTAGTGTTTTGTTTGACCTATTGGTGGTAAAATTTTCCCTGCAATGAGTTTTTTTCCCCTGCAATGCACCCAAATATTATCTTAAAATAATGCACTGTGATAGCATGTTTATTAACTCTATTACTTTGAGGTTTTTAAAATAAATATTTGCATAAAATAATTATTAAAATTAAGTAAAAAATATTTTGGAAAATAATTTTTCAGCCTTACCGTTAAAACATTTTTACAATCAGTCTTGGGCATCAGAGCGTAAAAATCATATTTATCGCATTTATCACATAACTTTTTTGACATGCAACGTAACACTATGAAAGCAAAATTATAAAAAAGTACAAACTAATTATGATTCCAATTCAAGGCGGGAAATCTCATTGCAAAAATTTTAAAGAAAGTGGGACTAGTTGCGCCATCTCTTAGCAATATTTAGAAATATAGAAATAATCACTGGATTTAAAGAGAGTGTAAGTAGCGACGAATTCAATTTCAATGATGCAATTTTTCTCTTCGTCGCATGGCATGCGACACCGACTATACCGACACAAAAACGTATGAGATGAGATGTCGACGGAGATTATACAATCACCCTTTTTAGACTTTACAGATTTGCCAAAATTTTTAAATTTTTGGAACAACATGAAAAAACATTGTAGTGGATTTGAATTTTTCAAAATCATCTGTTCCTTAATGATTCACACCGGCCACATGTGCACTGTATAATAGTAATGAGTCACATATAAATTTTAGGTTATAAAAAATACTGTCACATATACTGAGAAGAAAAGTATGGCCAAAACTACCAGAATATGGTAAAATTTACCACTCTTCTAGAAGAAATTTTAATTTTAAAATTATAAATTATAGATGGTTAAAAATTGTGAAAAACCCGTTTTTAATATAAATTATTTCATAAATTCTCCGCTTTTACCATGTTATATTTTATTAAAGGTCCAGTATAATAATTATTTATCATGTGACGATTTTGTAAACTATTAAGAGTATATTGACCAATAGCTAATAAACTATTTTGTTAGGGCTCCGTTTCAATGAGAATATATTTTGTATGTGATCCGCTTTAAAGATAAACTATTTTGTTCGGAGTACGTTTGGAAAAAAAAATTTCAAGTGTTTGTCAACCAATCAAAAGTTTTCCTAAAAAAAAACCTCTTTAAGTAATCAATCAGAAATTATAGTTAGCAAAAAGTTAATAACATTTTGCTTCGTATCTTTCATAAATTTCTTCTATAGTTTGTCTGAAGTAAGAACTCCCCTAGCCAGTCATCTGAATCCCTGGTGCTTACTATGGTAACGAGATATTACTATTTTAAATATGGGTGTGGGGTCACTGTTTAGGACAGGTTTAGGCTTGGGCTGGCGTGAGAAATGTTATCTTTTTTTCCGGTTTATTGTGTTAGCCCTAGAGTGAAGAGAAGCTACCCTCCTTAAAATGCACTATTCTTGTTTCCATAGCAGCAGACTGTCTCAGACTTTGTGGCGGGGGGAGTTCTTACCGTAGACAAACTATAACTATACGTGATTCTAATTGTGGTCTCTTTTTTTTCAGGCAGGTGGGGGAATGGCAGGAGAGGTGGACGTTCTGGTAAGTAAATTGTTCTTCTCTTATTAGTGCATGAAATTCGAATAGTTACAAACTTATTCAAAGAAAATGTTAAGTTAATAATCAGATAGAATCTTAAAAATCATCAAAAAACTGTTAAAGCCGGGATTATTCCAGAACTTTTCCTCCTATTTTCGTAAAATTGTGAAATATCTTCGAATAATATTAATAATTTGTAAAAATAGGGTCCCACTTTTGTGGTTTCCTAAAAATAATTAATAAATGTTTGTTTGCTGTTTACAAATGGACTTTCTGCTTAGATAACACAAAAAAATTATATTTATTTGAACTAATGCATTCAGGGCAGACATGTTATATGGTAGCCCAAGTACAAAAAAATTTAAATTTATTGAATTTAATTTTTTTTTAAATCTTTGACACATTTCTGACGGTGTATTTTTAATATTTCGTTGAAAGATTCAATAAAAATTTGACAGACAATCTTTTATTTTTATAAACTCACTATGGATTTGTTCTATGGATTGTTCTATATAACTCGTTGAGAAATATAAATTATCTTTTTTATTAATTAATTATAAATGATTATTCATACTTATATTCAGCTTATTCACATAAATACTTATATTATTATAAATACTTATTTTTAGCTTACTTATTTACTTATTTTATTTTTATCTGTTATAAAATAATTTTGAAACATTTTGCGTTTTAACACCCTATGTCAATCATTAGTTTGGTTTTAATTAACTTTTTCTTTTTACGTACTTAACCGATTGGACTATCTTCATATTTTAAAGAAACCCATCAAGAAAAACTTAAATAATTTTGATTTTATAAAATGCATGTTCAGACAATATTTCTGCTGATATCTCTATTCAAATTTCTATGTTTATACTTAATTTTCTTGATATTTTCAACTCTCAATATTGTAGTGGCTTATTGCAAAACATTTCTGTAACGCGGCTTACTATACGTACTTGCATAGCGAAATATAACAGATAGAATTACTTGAGACATTTTATTGGAACGTGCTTTCCATTCGAAGTTCTATTCCTTTGAATTTATAATAACGAATGCAGTACTAGCGCCATCTGGAGAAAAATAAGCACGCTTCAATCTTTTCTTTTCTTACTGCAAATAAGCATAAAAAGTCACATCAAATACGCAATATTCGTGCTGAAAGAAATCTAGTAGGTTCTGATGCATCTGAAAACGAATTTTCTTACTCGCTACGACTGTATTTGCTAGCTTTATATGATATTACATTGTTTTATATTTTTGATTATTATTGTTTATATTTTTGATTTTTAGGTAAACAAAAAATGAAATTAAGTTAAAAAAAGATATCTATGAATACAATTGTGTAATCTTTTTGTTCAAAAAATTATATTTATTTTTTAATAGTAAAACGTTAATTGAGTTTTTTAAAAAAAAGGTGTTTTAATGGTTTGAAATAATTCTGAAATTAAACTATTTTAAATATATAAATTTAACAAATAAATTAAACCTTTTACACTATAATGTTACTTTTTAACAGAGCTACTATTATCCGTTAAATAGTATTCTTAGTGTAATTCTAGTTTTTATTTAATACTGGGTAATATTTCTTACTTTTTTACTTAGACATTGGCACGGGATTGCAGTAGTAATAGTTCTAATAGTAAAGAGTTCATTGAGCTGATTTTAAACGTTTTGAAATAATACTGAAATTGAACAATTTTATCGGTAGAAATTCAACAAATAAATTTCTTTTTTTATACTATAATGTTTATTTTTAATTAACGGTCACTGCTATTTTCTGTTATATAGAATTTAAGTGTGATTTTTGCCTTTATTTAAATCTAGACAATATTTCTTATTTTTTGTTTAGACCTTGCGCGTGACATCAGTAGAAATTAAGTAATCTATTGTTTTTTAGTCTTTTTTTGCAATTGCATCTTCTTTCTTAAAATTGTTACAAAACACAATAATATCTTCCCAAGTTGAGAAAAAAACGGCCTATTTATGAATATTACGGCAACAAAAGGAGGAGATATTTTGGAATCGAAATTTAAAGGAAAAAAAATGCAATCTGAGCTTGCTTAGCTCGTTTATTGGATACTAATGATTTTTAATATACACTTCCCTACAATAATGGAACAGACACTTTCAGCTTTTAACATTTTTTTTTAAATTTCTCAAAAAATACTTAGAAGATTATTTTGTAACTTTAGAGGCAATTAGTGCATGCTATTTTTCATACTTAGCAGTAAAGTTTAAAGCATTCAGAGGCTTAAGGGACCGACCATAAATTACGAAAGAAAACAAGCGTTTTTGAATACCTTGTACCTAAAAATCACACAATAAGCTTATAACTTGTAAATCAAACAATAAGCTTATAACTTATCACTAGTTGTCATTTGCATAAAATTTCATAAACCTAACTTAATTATTTATAGAGTAATGGACATTTCATAAAAAATATAAATTTATTGCCTTACCTTTTCCTGCAATAACTTCAAAAATATTTATTACAATTAAGCAAAATTTTTGGAACAATTGAAAATTAATTACAAAACTATTGTTTTAACCTTCCGTTAGTCGCGCGCACCTCACAGGTGCATCCCTACTGTACTTCCACCTCCTTTGCCGTCAATAGATTTTTCCGGGGGTCGAGCCTAATGTTATGTTCCTAACTTTGGATTACTCAAATGTCCGTGTAAAACCGACCTTAGAACATGTCGATGGAGAGTTGGAACCGCTCAAATCACCCCTCTGGTGCAGCGCGACCATTGACGCAAGTATTATGGATATAATATTTTTATGAATTAAATATATATATTTTATTTCATTTTCTGTCCTTCTCAACGTAGCAGGTATAAATGGTCAAGTTATATACACAGAAAATGGTTACGGAGTAAAAAACCGCAGAACCTTCTTGCGTCAATTGGTTGAACATCTTGTGATGGAGGAAGAGATCCGACGCGGGAGCAAGAAAAATTTATCTTCGGTACTTCGCTAAATAAGTTTTTTTGATATTTATCTCTCTAAAGAGTCTTAAATTGGTAACAATTAACTATTTAAACTAGACTAAATTTCATTTGGCTTTCAAAAAATCAGAAACACCTCATAGGTGCAACGCGATTAACCATGTCGGAAACAAGTGCGCGACTAACGGAAGGTTAAAATTGGAAAGAAATCGTTAATAACTGCTCGCGATATGACTATTTAAAGTAGTTTTTTTATACTGCGCATACACGGAAAAAATTTTTAAATTTTTTTATTTTTTCCTTATTTCGTAACGAATAGTAATTGGCAACTAACTGAAAAAGTCTGATTTGAATGTCTTAAAAGATTTAAGAGTTTCAAGCAATTTTCAAAGTAGTTTTTGTACTTTTTTTTAAAAAAAAGCTCAAAATAATAAGATTATTGTCAGATAGGGCAGCTTTCTATGAATGGTGGTACTCTTTTCAAAATGAGTTTCTACATATACATCCTGTATACCTTTAATTAATTTTTTTTGCAGTACCATTTGAAGTACATACTATTTTCAATGCTATTTTGGTAATTACATTTGGAACAAATTCTTAGAAATTTTATATTCATATTTTAAATTCAAATTTCTTGGACAACAATTTTAGGCCTTTTATTGTATAATAAACTGTTAAAATGTTTAATTAAGGAAAAAGGCGAGAATAATGGCATAGTAGTAAAGTAGGTAAAACCGAGAGCAGTATTCAAGACTGTAGAAACTTACTTAGACAGCAACTTACTTAGACAGAAACTTACTTAGAAGCAATGTCACTAAACATTTGTGGCACACCAATTTACGCTTAATCTGCGATGTTTTTGAATTAAACTTCCTTTTCCAGCACCAATTGTTAAGCATCATAAAAACTAAAATATGCCTTTAAATGATTATGTAACCTATATTAATTAATAAGCATATTTAAAACAGAAATATAGTTTAGTTTGTTTAAAGGATCAGTTGCTTTGATTTTTCTCTGCTTGTAGCTCAAATTCAACTCTATTTTGCCAACTCGAAAAGAGAAATTGCGTTAGTCTTATGCTTATTTATTTACTAATTTATACAAATGCCATCAACTGAACTAAAGGTTTTCAAACATTTATAACAGAAAAATATTTTGAATTATATAAAAAAAATTCTTACAGCGAATTCATGTGACAGAGCATAGATTTTTTCCCCCAAGTTTCCAAGTTTTTATTTCAAAAAGTGTTAACGTTAACAGATGGCTTTGCAGATTAATTCTGTTGCACTTTAAGTTACGTTTAGATATATGTAATTTTTTCTCTTGTAACATGCATTTGGAATGAATGGTGAACTTTCTCAAAATATCACCATTTTAAGATTTTTCAATTGTTTATCTTTTATTTATTAGTTTACCACTTGAGAACCGCCAGCTATTAAAAATTTTGGAACTCATAACTGAAATTATGGGAGAAACATTTTACTCTCTGTTGCATAAATTTTCTGGAAACATGAATTTTAATCATTATTATTATCTTTTTGTTCCTGCAATAAATTTTTAAGAAACCGTCAGTTTAGTTCAGAACAACCTGTACATGCTTATTAGTATTTTATGTCACATAAATTTTCTCAAAATACAGTTAAAGGCCTGATCTGACTTCATCAGACTTTAGAATATTTGAAATAGCAACAAGTTTCTTCAATTTTAAAGATCAACAATAATTATTTACTAATAATTTTGCTCACGTTTAATCGCCATTGTTGTTGCAATTAATTATAATTGTTGAAATTTTTCAACTAAAAACATCTTTACCAATATAAATTATAACAATTTTGGTTCTTTTAGCTGGATCCTCTCGAGGCCCTGGCGAGTGGTCAGAAGAAGGGGCGAACGGAGGTCCAAGGCACTCTGGTAAGAGATCACAAGGGCGGCGTCACCATCAGCCCCAAGAGCCAGCACTGGTACACGACACACGTCCCCCTCCAGAAATGGAGGTAAGTTTATTAAATATATGGTTTATTAAACACTTGGCTATGATCTACATGACAAAAGAATCTGAGTGAAACTCATTTTTTCTTAACAAAAGAATTTGAGTGAAATTCCTTTTTTTTGACAAAGGAATCTGAGTGAAATTCTTTTTCTTTGACAAAAGAATCTGAGTGAAATTCAATATTTTTTTTGACAAAAGAATCTGGGTGAAATTCCTTTTTTTTTGACGAAAGAATCTGAGTAAAATTCAATATTTATTTATTTTTATTTATTTTTCTTTTGACAAAAGAATCTGAGTGAAATTCATTTTTAAGGGAGAATCAAACAAGGAAAAAAAATATATTTGTATTGTTCACATTAAGGTTGTTTTTCAAAGACTCTGTCCTCACACGAAACTATACTTTTTTGCAAATAATATGCTATTTTCATAACTGCTGTGAGTTTGCAACAGTTACTCGTGGTTGTTGGGTCAAGTTTCAGGAATCGTTTTGTTCTTGAAACGTTACCAAGAATACTTTTGCTATAGTAGTAGATTAAAAACAAAATGCAATTTTTGATTTTTTTTTTTTTTAATTTTTTTCTGATATACCCAACACTTTATTAATAAAGCATTTGCATTATGCAAAAAAATAATACTACAGCATTAATCTCATTATAATAATAATAATATGATAATAATAATTATAATACTAATAATCATAATAGTATTAACATTATCAAAAAAATGCCTTGCATCAATTTGAATTTGTGAAAAAACTCAAAATCACCCATTTGAAATAATGAAGTATAAAAAAATAAATTTTCATCAAGCTCGCGTTTATTACATTTTATTACTCTTTTAAGTACACATGATAAAATAAATCTATTTGTGAAAACCAATAATGGATCTAAGCATTAGTTATCAAAAATATTATGAATTTTTATATTTGACAATAACTAATGTGACATTACAGTACAATTCTATAAAATAAAAATAAGACATATATAAAACCTTAACAATTAAAAATTGAAAATATGAAAATACGAGGGTTGCTATTTATATTTCTGGCCTTGGCAACAGTAAGTGTTGCTAGGCGACCGCAGACGATTTTAATCGAAAGTTTGATATTTTTAAACATAAATTCAGCAGACGATTTACCATTATAGCTTCATTTGTGTTGTTGACAGTAAATTGAAAAGTTCTTCTCTTTCAAAAAATGGAATTGAATCGTGAACATTTTCGTGCCATTATTTTTCATAACTTTCGACGTGGATTGTCAAGACAAGAGTGCTTCGATGAACTTAATTCTTTATTCAGCGATAAAGCGCCATCCTACAGCACTGTAAAAAATTGGTATAACGAATTTAATCGTGGTCGATGTTCGATCCAGGACGAATCCCGTGCAGGTCGTCCAAAATCCGTTGTTGTGCCAGAAAAGATCGATGCTGTGCGTGAACTGATAAAGCAAGATCGTCATGTGACATACCGTGAGATAGAGGCGTCTTTGGACATTAGTATGACTAGCATCAATAAAATATTGCATGAACATTTGAGCGTAAAAAAAATTTGTTCGCGTTGGATCCCGCATAATCTGACAAACGCTCAAAAAAAGGCTCGTGTCGATTGGTGCAAGGAAATGTTGGAAAAATACGTTCAAGGTACATCAAAGGCTGTGTATAACAAACATAAATGTAAATAAAGAATAATCTATGCATATGAGCCGGAAACAAAACAGCAATCAACTGTATGGGTCTTCCAAGACGAGGCAAAACCCGCAAAAGTTGTTCGAGGAAGAAGCACATCGAAACAAATGATTGCCTGTTTCTTCGGCATTAACGGTCATGTGGCAACAGTGGCGTTAGAGCAACGCAGGACGTTCAATTCTGAATGGTACACGACCATTTGTTTGCCAGAAGTCATCGGAGAAATTCAAAAAAAGCAGAAGAACAGACGAATCATTCTTCATCATGACAATGATAGCTCTCATACATCGACTCAAACAAAAGCATTTCTGACGAAGCGAAAGATCGAACTGATGGGTCATCCGCCGTACAGCCCTGATTTGGCACCCAATGACTTCTTCTTATTCCCACACATCAAAAATAAATTACGTGGAGAACGATTTTCGACCCCCGAAGAAGCGGTTGATGCATTCAAAAGGCATGTTTTGGAGTTACCTCAATCAGACTGGAAAAAGTGCTTTGAAAATTGGTTCAAACGCATGCAAAAGTGTATTGATCATCATGGAGAATATTTTGAAAAACAATAAAACCAATTTCGATCCTACATATTTGTTTTTTCGATATTAGGCCAGAAATATAAATAGCAACCCTCGTATAAATGTGTGATATATTTTCATATTTTAATTTTTTAATTGTAAAGATTTTATATATGTCTTATTTCTATTTTATATAATACAAATTTGGTTTCAGCTGCCTTGTGCGCTTTTCCAATTTGATTTAATGTTTCAATGTGTTTATTTACCTCTTATGTATCAATATTGACTTCGTAAATTGAATTGATTTTATGATTAGTACAATCCTATACAAACATTGAAACTGAAAAAAAAAATGAATTTGTTCCGCTCACATTAATACAATTCCCAAATCTAAATAAGTTCTGAAATAACTTTTAATTTTGGATAATTCTTACGAAGAAATTGCTTTTTTGTGAAATAACCATTGTGGGGATGATCTGTAAATATTCATACTTTAAAAAAAATATTTAAATACCAAACACAGTTTTTTAAACACTGCTTAAAACTTACCACCCTTCCTCAAAAATATGATAAAAAATAAATGAATAAAAAATAAATAAAATTAAATCACAGCATTGACATTCTTTTCTCATCTTACACAAGCACCTTCATTATATATGCAGCTCAGATACAGCGATATAACCGAATACCTGAATCTTTTTTGATTTGTTTTGCCAACTAATCGCCAGCAGGGACATAAACGGCGTAAAAAAAAAATTGCGTCACTTGTTTATTCTTTTACTACTTTTTGTCCCCCCTCTACCTCCCTTAACGCTCGGCCGACGGTCCGCAAACCGACCCGACTTCCATTCAGGCTTAAGTATATTGAGGTATGAGGTACGTGGAAACTTCTTTCCTATCCACCCCTACTAAATCGGACAACCAGGTGAGTAGAAAAGTAGCTACATTTTTATGGCCATTACATTTTTGCCCTTCCTAATCAAAGAGGTCGGCCACCTTTTTCCGGTTTTTTTTTTACCATCATTTATGTGTTGCAAATCGCGTAGAGAGAAGTGATTTACTTTTAATGGTCATAATCGTAATATATAGATATATTAACTTTTTTTTATGAACAACGTTGTCACTACGAAATATTTTAGAAAAAATATTTATTTATTTTATTATTATTATTTTTCAATTCAATTTTTTCAGTTTATGTCAATTTTTTTTTTTTTTTTTTTTTTTTTTTTTTTTTTTTTNTTTTTAATTTTTTTTTTTTTTTTTTTTTTTTTTTTTTTTTTTTTTTTTTTTGTGGGTCATATTATATGGATATTGTTATTATCTGGATATTGGCCAAACTATGTGGATATATGAGATTTGCATTTTCTGAAATATTTTTCTTTAAACACGTGATGAGAAATTTAGGAATTTAAATGTCATTATTACTGTTTGGATAAATATAAACAACGGTTGTAAGTTTTAGGGAAAAAAATATTTAGTTACTTATATTTCACTAATTTATTATTATTATTAAATTTTTTTTTTGGAAACAACATTTTTACTAAAAAATATGTAAGAAAAATGTATTTATTTAATGCATCATTACTATTATTTTTTTAATTCAGTTTTTAGCATTTTCGTTCATTTAATTTTTTTGTCATATTACCTGGATATTGGCCATACTTTGTTGATATATGAAATTTGCATTTTCTGAAATATTTTTCTTTAAATACGTGAGGAGAAATTTAGAAATTGAAACGTCATTATTACTGTTTGGATAAATATAAACAACGGTTGTAAGTTTTATGGAAAAAAATATTTAGTTACTTATACTTCACTAATTTATTATTATTATTACATTTTTTTTTTTGGAAACAACATTTTTACTAAAAAATATGTAAGAAAAATTTATTTATTTAATGTATCATTAATTTTTTTTTAATTCAGTTTTTAGCATTTTCGTTCATTTAATTTTTTTGTCATATTGTCTGGATATATCAACACAGTATGGCCAATATCCAGACAATATGACAAAAAAATTAAATGAACATTTTCTGGATTTTTTTTTTTTTAATGTATTTTGAGAATCTTGGGAAGTAAAACATCATACTATTTTGATAAATGAATGTAAACAACGGTAGTAAATTTTATAAAAAAATATTTATTTATTTTTATTTCTGTAATTCATTATTATTAATTATAAAAAAAATTATAACAACATTTTCACTAAAAAATACGTAAGAAAATTTATTTATTTAATTTATCATTGATATTTTTAAATCCAATCCTTACCATTTTATGTCCATTTAATTTTTTTTTGTCATGTTATCTGAGTATTGGCCACTGTGTGGATATATGAAATTAGCGTTTCCTGGAATATTTCTTTTAAATATGTGATGAGAATGGATGAAACATGATTATTAGTATTTGGATAAACGTAAATAAAGATTTTGAGTTTCGTTGAAAACCATTTATTATTATTTTTTATTTGATTATTATTATTAATTTTAAATTTAGCCTTTAGTATCTTAGCATTTTAGTTATTAAAGGGGTTCTATTATCTTCTCAAAGATTATTTTTGTTTACTTACTTAATCATTATACATATCTATCTAATCATTACATTGGGAAGAAAATAGTGATTTAGTTTTAATGGTTGTAATATAGAGAAATATAAAATAATTTTTTTTTAAACATCATTTTAACTGAAAAATGTGTAAGTCTTGGAAGAATTTTTTTTATTTATTATTGTTATTTATTTCTATTTCATTTATTTATTATTATTAATATTAAATTTAGTCTTTCGCTTTTTAATATTATCTTATTTAT